ACGAAATTCTCCGAGTCTCTGCCTCTTTGGATAACATGTTCTTCTGTTTTGTAAAGTGTGTGTGCTTGGGGTTCCGCGGTGTGTGGGATTGAGTTTCGGCTTTGTTTTTTTTTTAAGATATTTTATGTAAATGTAAAAAGTTATTTAAATATATATATTTTAAAGAACCCTAACCGCCAACTTTTGCTGAAAGAAAAAAAAAAAAAGTCACTGCTGCGTGAATTGAATCACATCGTGTGTAGATACTGCCGTCTCCTTGGAGGGAGCACAGGCCTTTGAAAAGCTCAGGGCTACACCTGCCTTAGAAAACGAACCAGAAACTTGAAGTACAGCTCGTCGATATGGGTACAAGCTCTGAGAAACGATGCGATGCTGCCTCTTTTCTCGTGGCAGATCCCAGTGTACAGATCGTCAGGTCTCCGAAGCCATATTCCTCCAGCCCACCGGAGGCAGCTGCTGGAAACCGCTGGGAAGCGGGTAGGAGGTCGGCAGCACCGGGGAGCGGGGCCCAGGCCGTTGCCGCAGAAGCCCCGGGTGCGACAGGGATGATTCTGCCCAGTGGCCTCAGTCTGTCCCCTGGAAAGGGCCAAGTTCACAATCATGATTTTGGGCTCCCTGCCACCCAGGGGCTGCAGAAATGGATCGAGGGGGTGTGCGGGGACCAGCACCCAGGAGGAATGTAGTTTGCGGCTTTGATGTCTGAAGGGGCTGGGGACCGAGGATGCGATGGAGCTGCTGCGTCCTTGGGCTGCCTTCCGGGGGCCGGGGGTGGGGGGGGGCACGTGGCCAGGACCCCATCGGGGCTACACTAAGCTCTGAATGATACGGTTCCCATCCATCTCCCTACGGAAGCGCCGCTTCAGGGTTATTCAGCCCTCTGCTCGTGGCTGAAGTTGCTCATCTCGCCTGCAAAATGTCTACTATCCTTTCTACCTAATGCACTATTACGTATTGGTTCTCCATGAGACAGAGAGAGAAAGAGACTATCAGATAGTTTAGACCCAAAGGGTAGGTTTTTGTATATTTTTCCAGCCTTTCGTTGTTTTTTAAAAGAGGGAGGGAGAGCTTAAAAACCCATTTTTTTAAAAGATGTTTCCATTATAAAGGGGAGAATCTATTTAAAGCTATTTCAGATCAGGGATTGACTGTCATCCTTTTTGTCCAATGTATTTCTTGTTCTTAAAACTATTTTTAGAAGAAACTAATCACATTAGCCCCGAGTTCACTAACTCTTCTGGTCACTTGTTTACTCACTTAGTCGGCAGATAGTTGGTGCCACCTGAAAAGCTCCTTTGTGAAATAGATACCCTGGGAGCTGGCCCCTGTAGGTGGGGAACTAGAGGCCATCCTGGTTGCCAGGAGACTGGGATGACTCCTCTCCAGTTAGGCTCTGGGGTCAGCAGCCTGGGGTCCAGACCAGAACATTTTGAATGAGAATCTCACTGTATCAGAATCCCTTTTTCTTAAAATCCTCAGCCTGTGATGAGGAAACGTACTTAACTCCAAGCCAGGATTCGACAAGCCAGGAAATGCCAGGGTCAAATGATGGAGCCATTTGCCATTTAGGAACTCACCCATTTGCCATTTGGTGAGATCTGTCCTCCAGCCTCAAAAGGTGCAGTCCCTGGCGGGGGTTGCTCCCCGCGGGCCTGTGCCCAGCACACCTGTTGGCGAGGGTGTGAGAAGCGCCAGGGCTGTTGACATGTGATCTGGGCCGCCTTTATTTCTCGGGCCAGAACCAGCAGCTGCTGAGGACAACAGCTTGCATTACGTGGTTTTGGGGAGAGGGGGGTGGGGCGAGGGGATGGCTTTTAACATGAACTGCAAAGAGCAGCTCCTCATTGTTGAGATTCTTGTTGTTGTTGTTTGTGGTTTTATTTGTGTCTAATGCCATGGAGTGCGTATTATCTTCCTTGTCTGAAACCATACCCCCAGAGTGGCTAAAGCCCCAGCTGGAAAAAAAAAAACCACACAAAAAACCACTCCTCAGAGCCTTAAGCAATGAATAGACGAGTGAAGAATGTGGCTTCCATGGGGCTTACTCAAATAAATGTGTCCAATTCTTCACGTGAAAGAACAATAACTACAGATGGCGAAAGAAGCACATTGCATGTTGGTAGTTTGCAGGGTGGTAGAGACAGAAAAATGAAATTTTGAAACTTTTCAATATCAACCACTGTCTTAAATTTGTGTTGGCCTATCCGACGGGCAGGGCACCAGAATCAAGGAACCAACTAGAGTTCAATTGCCTCACCATTGAAATCAAAACATCTTCTGTGAAGTTGTAAGACTCCGCTACTGATAAAGTACCGTTTTCCGTGATCCCTCCGTGGTGTGTGGGGCTGACGGAGCCGTGGAAACTGGGGGCGTCACATTTTCCATTGCGCACATCGGCCCCCACTCCCCACCCCTGCCAGGGTGTGACCTTTGGGTGTGGTTCCGTGGCCCAACCCTTGTGTGACAGCAGATGTAAACTGGAGAGGGCTAGAACCAGTTCACGTGGGGTGTGGGGGGGAAGAGTTGGGAGTTCTGATCAGCAAGGTACCTCTTTGCAGACGCAGCCCCAGAACGCAGGTTCAACTCAGCCTCTTCCCCTCGCCTTTGAACCCAAGCCATTTCTTAAAGCCCCACCTACTGTCCCACGGCTCAGACCCTCCCTTTTGTGCTGCTAGTTCCTACTCAAAAGTTCCTGCAGGACTAAATGCTTTTAAAATGAGGTCGAAAAGATAATGACTAATCAAGAGTACTATTTTTTAAACAGAACTGCCTTTTTCTATTCTTTATGTAAACTCTATTGTGTTGGGTCTAACAAGGCACTATTTTAAAATGTGTGTTTTTTTTTAAAAAATTTTCTCCCATAGCACTTAAAAGATATTTTGTAAAGACTTTGCTGTAAAGATTTTGTAATAAAACGGTCTAAGGGCTCCTTCTCCAACATTACCATTTTTAAAAAATGTTTTAAAAGGCTAGAAAACAACTTATGTATATTCTGTATATGTATAGCAGCACATTTCATTTATGGAAATATGTTCTCAGAATATTTATTTACTAATATATTTATCTTAAGCCATGTCTTATGTTGAGAGTGTGACATTGTTGGAATAATCATTGAAAATGACTAACATGAGGCCCTGTAAATACATGATAATTGCACACAGATTTTACATATTTGCCGACCAAAAATGATTTAAAACAAGTTGTAGTCTTCTATGGTTTTGTAACAAATTGTACAAATGACTGTAAAAAAAAAAAATACAATTTTATCAAGTACATGTTCTACGTTGTCAATCGCTCTGTTGGGTAAAGGTCTACACATTCCACAAAGGAGAGGTTTGCAGGAAGCAGTGCCTTTTTTGATGGTTTTTGTTCATCCTCACCCGAGGATAGTTTTAGGGAGAGTGGAAGAGAGAGGGAAAGACGGAGAAACAGCGATGTGACTCACATCGATTGGTTGCTTCCTACAGGAGCCCCAACCGGGCCAGGGAAGAGTCTGCAACCAAGGTATGTGCCCTTGACCAGAATCGAACCCAGGACCCTTTGGCCCGCAGGCCAATGCTCTATCCACTGGGCCAAACCGGCTAGAGCTGAAGCAGTGCCTTTAACTTCAGCGTGCTCGTGGGAGCATCCATATCATTTCCTCTTTGGTTAACATAGCGTTCAGGTTCTTGGGGATTTCGGTGGCATCATGGGATTATGTCCTTGAGGTGATGGTAGTTTTTCTGCTCTTCCCGGTGGAGGGCGAGAGGGAGGGACATGATGGTCGATCCTAGCAAATCCTCTTTTTGAAAGTTGGGAACATAGGCTGGATCTACCAGTAGACCATCGGCTTTCTCTGCCAGGATCTTTCCTACCTGGAAGACAGAGACCCTCAAACCCCAAGAGAAAGGGGCTTGGAGGGAAAAAGCCCCCAGCACCTAGCCCTCAAAATGACCTGCTCATGAGAGTGGAGGGGAAATGAACTTGTTACCCGTTTGTCAGGTTTCCCGGGGAGGGTGGCGCACTCGGAGATGACCGGAAAGGTGCAAAGTGGTGTTTATTGTTTAGACATCTAGCAGGGAACAGCCTCATCTGTGCGATCCTGTTTCTATTTCTCCCTCTTTAACCTGGGCCACTTCTTGGGCACAGGCTCCTTGTCGACGTCCAGCCACGTCCTGACGGGCAACGAGTCCCTCTGAGCACCTTCGGGGGTGGCGGCCTGGCTGCACAGAGCCTCCCAGAGCTTCTGTTTGATGGCCTTGCCCAGCTCCAAGCTGTACCTCTTGGGGGTCCCCGAAGGGTTCCACAGCATCGGCTCGACCACGGCATGGTACAGAGCCCGGTAACCCTCTGTGGGGAGGCCGTGGATGGTTAGCATGTCTGACAACTGTGGTCTCTTCCTGGCTTCAGGAAGCAACGCCTGGCCCTTCCAGGCTGCTGTCCCCGCGTCCCTGCGTAGCGCTTGGGTGGCGGCCACATGTTCGGCATATCTGCTCTCAAGATCTTGGCTGACTGTTACTTTTTCCTCCTTTGAACTTTCTTTACTCTGGCCAGGAAGAAAGCAGAGAAGTCAAAGCTAAAACTTGAGAAGGGAGCTCAGAATAATTATCTGGGATTTGTGTCCCAGAGTCTTGGTTACAGCCACAACCAACATTCGTCTAGTAGTGTGTGCAAGCTTACCGAATTCCTCCGTGTATACCACTGCGTGCATATCCCCCCCACCCACCCCGGAACCCTGTAAGGTCAGCAGGAGACAGCTTTAAAGGCAAGGGAGCGGGAATTGGTTTGCCCAAGGCCACACAGCTAGAAAGTTAATAACCACAGTTGTTGTCTAC